AGGCCGCCTGCAGCTGGGCGCTGTACTCCATCTTCTCGCGGAGCCCGGGGATCTGGGGCGCCGACTCCGCAGCCTCCTCCTCCTCCTCGCTCTCACTGCTGTGGATCAGCATCGTGGCGTCAGAGAGAGTCTTCTTGTGGTGATACTGGGGCAGCTGCGGAACCTCGTGGGCCCCCGGCGCCTCCTTGGGCGGCCCCTGCTCCCGGAGCGTGTTGCGGCGAGCCATGGGGATGTTGAGCGACTTGAGCGTCATGGCTTCCATGCCCCGCACCATGCTGCTCATCACCTCCAGGCTGTGGCGCTTGTTGACCGTGCCGTGGTGCTTGGTGGCCGTGAGGGGCTCGCTCACTTCCTGCAGGGACTGATGCACCACTGGAGAGCTGTCTTCCTGGAAGGTCTTCACTGACAGCTGCACTTTGCGGGTCACCAGGTCGGGACTGCTGCCGCTGACATACTTGTGGCGGTGACTGGCGAGGTCTGGGGTGCTGGTGGCAGGGCGGGGCCGGGGGTAGGGGGGCGGTGGCCTGAAGAGATAGTTTTTGAGCATGTGGGCCGTGTTGTAGTGATGGGTGCCTTGGAGCTGCATGTTGGCTAGCTCTGGGGTGCTGACTGTGTGTGAGATGGCGCTCGCCCCAGGCTTGCTGGGCACCGAATTATTCTTTGGGTTTATCTGGTCGGATGGACCAATAAGTTTGTTACTGTAGCCTCCCTGTGGCCCATAAGGGACAGTGTAGGGGTGCCTCTCCCTCATCTCGGGCTGGCTGTACACCAGATCCTCTGGCTGGTTGTAGGCGTGGGTGTTGATGATGTTGAGATTTCGCAGAGACTGGCTCTGGCTGTCCATGCGCATGACCCCCCTCTTCATCTGGCGCATGACCGTCTCGTAATCGGGGGTCGGCCGGTAAGATGGCACGATGATGGCGCTGTGCCGATGGCTTGGGATGTAGTCGGCCCGCATGATGTCACTCCCAGGGATACTGAGGTTGGAGGACACGGGAGACGCCTGAATGAAACTCTGGGAGCAGTTCAGGGAGTTGACGCTGTGGACGCTGCACACGCTGCCATTGGTGATGGTGCCGTTCAAGTAATTTAAGTCCAGGCTGTTGTGGGAATTGCAGTAGAAGGCATCCTCATTCCCATGGAAAATGCTGTCTACGGGAAGACAAACACAGGCACGTGAACCTCCAGGCTGCCCTGCTTCAAGGAGGGCACTCGTGGGGGTGAATTTTAATCTAAAGAAGTCCTAAAAAGTACAAGCCCGTGGTCTCTGCCCACACAGTCCATATCTACAAAATGACAACAATAGCAGTACTTATCTCATAGGTTTATTTTGAGGATTAAGCGAAACAATACACTGCAGGTGCTTAAGGAGAGGAGTTGCTCTATAAATGTTAGTTGTTATGATAATAATTATTGAAATGACTTTTTTACCCATTTTGTATGGGAGTTCAAAAACAGGAATAAAACAGTTTCTCTACTCTGGGGCAATAACAAGTGCATAGAGAAAGGGGCTGGTGGGAGAGATGAGAAGCAATAGCTAAAATAAAGGGATGAGGTTATCTGTGTATTTCTTTCAACTATTCTGGATACCTGGATTCTCTGTCACCATGAAAACCTGACTGACTCTTACACGGTTTTTGACACTGGCAGAGAAGGTGAAGAGTCCTCCACTGGGCTTAGCTGTCTCTCTTCCCTCAGCCCATTTACGAGAAGGAGGAGGGAAGAACGTGCTCCCTGACTTTCCCCAAATCCCTTCACAGCCAATTCAAAGCAAACTTTTTTTTTCAGGGGTAAACAACAGTCTATGCCTCTGACACATCAGAGCCGCTGCCTGCTGCCATTTGGATAATGACAAGACTAAAAATGAAGGCATCGCTGTCATCTAAACAACAACAACAACAAAAAGTCTTCTTTACTCAAACCCGTACTCAACATTTTGTCTTAAGGGAAAACGGTAAGCCAGAGTTACCTTGCGAAGTATGTGTTTCCGAGTAGTGTTCACCACACTGGACGTGCATGGGAGGCAAGATATATGGCTGCTGCCGCGGCTGAAACAGAGAACACAGCACAGGTGGGCGAGCCCTGCACAAGTGGCTGTCGAGTCTCACGGAGAACCAGCCGAGCACGCGGCAGCCCAGCCCTCAGTCACGCCCGCTGGGAAGCACACGCGGCTGCTCTGCCTGTCTAACCTTGGCCCAGCCCTCTCTAGTCTTCTGTACCCCCACCTCATCCCCAAGTTTAGGACTGGAGAAACGAGAAGGGAGAGATAAGGAGGCTGGTCCAAGGCGAGAAAAGGAAAGAGGCTATAATGAACACGAACGAACTTATCTATTTATAGTCTATTTTCTTATACTCTCGCGAAGCTCCCAATGCCTTTTTTAAGAGAATAATATAGAACACGTGTATTACTACGTTCCGCATAACAATTAATAAGGGGAACCATATTTCACTCTATTCAAAATTGGCTCCCTCCTAGAGCCACAAGCTTGTAGACATCATCGTAGCTGCATCTATGACTCCAGTTCATCAGCCTCGAACAGAGACAGGGTAGTGTTAAGCTGGGCCCACTTGCAAATTTATATAAAAATCTGAAATGGGATCCATGACAATGGCTGTGTAGTTCTCAAGGCCATATACTGACCCTTCTCTCACTGTAGGACCAAATGTGGAAAAGCCTTGCAGAGGATCCAGTTCAACCACCCACCCCTTCAGGGAGAGTCTTTTCCATAAGACTCTTAAAAATGGCCATTTAGACTCAATCTGAATCACTTCCTGCTGCAGAATAGGGTAAAACTTTTACAGAACAACAAAAAAATGCTTAGATGGGTTCAATATTTGGTAAGACAACAAAGGAAATATGATTAGTCACTAATGTGATCCAGAGAAAGTCATTAAACCTCAGGAGGTCTCGGCTTCTTGTCCATCAAAGCAAGCCTCCTTCCTCTTCCTACCTCAAACACGATCTATTTTATTTAGACACTGAGGTTCCCGGTGAGAGTTTGTTTGAATAAATAGTTTCGATGCTAAAAAATGTTAAACTTGTAAATCACCAAACAGAATGATCTCTTATATTTCTATTTGATTATTTTAAAATTAGCCTTAGAGGTATTAGTTGAAATGTAACTGCTTTAGGAGAGAAGCTGAGATCAAGCCAAAAGAACCCAAAGCCAGCAGGGGTCACACTTTCTCAGGATCCCTCAACAGAAGAACACGCCTCAAAGTTCGAAGCTGGGTAAATAACTCATCTACCATCGCCTCTGCTACCAATAATGCTTTGGCATCAAAAGGGCAAATAAAGAAGGTCATGAAGACAAAAGACCCAAAAATTTTTAAAAATCAAGGGAGAATAAGTAATGAATTGAAGTTAATCTAAGAAAGTCATTCAGGATACCAATGAAAAGGTACTGTAATAGCTCTCTCCTAAATGTTCCCAAATCTCCCTTTGGCTGGTTTTTGAGGTACAATTTAAAAATATTTTTCCTCTTCTTGGTAATATATAATTCAACTCAATTTTTCCATGGTAGAACAGCCAGTTTTGAGGCTTAAAAAAAAAAAAAAGCAGTGGGGAAGGATTCATACAAGGGAACAGAAGTACATGGCAAGGCAAAGTGGCTCACTGCCTTCCCTTGCTATAAAAAAAAAAAAAAAAGTAAGGCACTGTTTATGAACTGGCGTAAGTGTACAGGCAAAGTTTAATCATAACTAATCCTTCCAACACCATTTCAAGATTATTTTTTATTCCATCTCTTATATATTCCAATATATTATTCTCTTTCTTTCCAGATCTGCTCATACAGAAATCAATTCGATGCCATAATATAGGCAGAAGAACAAGAGAAAAACAGCAACCAGCTGTACCAGGGGACTCTTGGTGAAATGGTTTTATCCTAAAGGGCAGAGGAAAGGGAGAAGCCATGAATCTGGCTTCCTGTAGACTGTCTTCATCCAAGACAGTCTTCTATCTTCTCTAGATAACTAGGACGAGATCAGATCACAAGATCGCCTTAAAACACTTGGCCTCCCATGGTGCTTTGCAGACATAAATAAAAAAATTATCGCACTAATTTTAAGACACGTGGACTCTAAAGAAGGAAAAGGAAAAATAAAATTAACAAAGGAGAAATTAACGAAGAAACCAGTGCCGTGAATAAATCTACTGGTGCACCAGAGAAAAAGCAAAGGGACCCCCAGATCTCTAAGGCAAGGGCCACTTCTGAGATTCCGTGCATAACGTCAGCATTCACGCGGGTACTCAGGAATTACTCTGTGGTGATATAATGGCCCAACCCTAGAATTCTAGGAGTTCATGTCTCTGCATTTTCCAGGAAAAGAAAAAAATTCCTCAAAACTTTTTTTTGGAAAGACAAGTCAAAGACATACAATTCTTATATATCCTATACACAAGTTGTGTATGAAGAAAAATTCAATTTTATTTTACTCTGAACTCTAAGGAACTGTTAAATTCATCCAGAAACATTAAAAGGTCACATTGTTTTGATTATGTGTAAAAAAATCTTAACCTAAAATAGAGAATTATGACTTAAAACAAGTAGAAAACTTTAAAGGAAACCAACTCTTCCACACTGTTCTATTATATTACCCTTAAGTAATCCTCAAAATAAAACACAGCCTCAGACAGATACATGTATTAAAATCTGAGTTGTGTTTCCTTATTCATGTGATGAGAATAATTTAAAAAAATCAAAAGCTAATAACAGATAGAGAAGTGGATTAAGTCAAGTTTTGTTGTCCTTAAAATTAGAAAATGTGCAATTAACCTTCCCCACCCAGTACTCTGAGACCATCAACCAGACGCATCCATTTTCTGCTCATTTAACAAGTATTTCTAACCAGTTTATTAGGCTCTGTCTACAGCAGTGAATACAAAAGCATCCTTGGAGCTTATATCTGAGGACACATCTCTGTGCAACAACCAGAAACAGTGACAAAACAATAGATGCAAACAAGTGGACAAAAACAGTAGGTTACATGCTGACAGAACGCGGTCTCATCAGAACAAGACTAACTCACAGGGGTGAACCCTGAGCCTCACTTAAAGAAGTGATAGACGTGGATGAGCACGAGTGGGGAAAAAAAGGATGTGCGTCACACCTGCTGGCAGACTGATGCCTTTCTGTGTTCTCACCAGACACCACCTGGCTGTGATGCCCTAGTCGCCTCTCCCTTCAAATTATCGGCAAAAGGACACTCCCTCCCCAACAGTCACAATGCTTGATGACTTTTATACGTACCAGTGAGGATCGGCTCCACGTGGGCTGGCGTCTGATGGGGGGTGGAGAATTCGATTGTCTATATGAAAAGTTGAAGAAATGAGGGTGGTTATTATTATTTACCAGATACAAGAAGACCAGGTAGACAGGAGAGGAAGAGGGGAAAACAGACACGATGGGTAAGACTTACAGCGAAACATAAACATTTGTTTCTGGGTGGTAAAGCTAAGAACAATTCTGATTTCCTTCTTTATTCTTCTATTCTTTCTATCTGGAACATATGATACTTTACTAAAGTTTTACCAAGTAATATTAGAAGAATGGAGCTTATTTCTAAAGAAAGATTGTGAGGGAAATAAGCAAGACTGAAACATTTCACCATTACATAAATTTTTAAAAATTGTATTTTTTTTGTCTACGGCCATGCCACCCTAAACATGCCCAATTCTGTCTGATCTCGGAAGCTAAGCAGGGTTGGGCCTGGTTAGTATTTGGAAGGGAGACCACCTAGGAAGACCAGGTGCTGTAGGCATAAAAAATAAAAAATGAGGGATTGTAAGGTGACAAGGTCCTTGCAATCTGTGAAGTCAACCAAGGGTTGCCTTGCCTTAAAAAAATTTTTTTTAATTGTATTTTTTACCTTTGTGTAAGTGTGAAAACTTTCATCATAAAAAAGTACAAAAACTATTATTAAAATGTTGCCAATGAAATAAAAATCAAAAATAAATACTTTTGAAGTATAAAGGTACTTTTAATTAAGATAATACATATTGCAAATATTCACCTGACCTACAGTTCCAGGAAGAATCAACATGAATTTTTTGAATGTAGAAATAAAAAAGAGAAAGGACTAAGAGTATTACCAAATTCTTGAGAACTGAAATCAAAGGTGCCTTTGAGAAACAAGTCCCAAATGCCAGAATAACATTTTCCCCCACCCTCACTGAAATCATTAAAAAAAAAAAAAAAAAATCAAGGACACATAGGGTTTTCCATCAAGCTAAAGTTCTTCACTTTAAAGCACTCTCTTTATTCTGGTATTTCATCTTTCTACTTTTTTGGTGATGAGATTTTTTAAATAATGGAAACGATACAGTAATACTGGACTTTTTTTAACAACTGGCCAAACACGATATTATTAGACCTATTGTTAAACATCTTTCTCTCTTCCCTCCCCCAGCAGTTTCTCCTCAAGTCAAGAAGTATGAGAACCATTCCTGGGAGCTGTATCTGCAAGCAGTGACCGTTAGTGGAGGGAAAAAAAGAAAGAAAGAAAGAAAGAAATCAATGACGGTCTTCTAGAAATGAGAGAGTAGAGACCTCTGGAGAAGGATGCTGTTAAGATGATGCTAGTTTCATAAAACTCCAGAGGGATCTCGCAGGCCTTAATGCAGCCTGTGCTGAAACTATGAAACTATATATAGAATTTACTGTGTATGTGGTGTGTGTCTGCGCAAGTACACTTTTAAGAGAGCCCCAGTCTTATCAGATAAGAGGTTTGGAACCTCCCATACTTGGTTAGGAAGAAGAAAGGCATGGTTATTACAAAAGTAGAAAGGAAAAATACAGTGTCCTTAGTTTTCAGTCTAATATGTGATATTCACTTATATTCGAGAAAAAGACCACAAGAGAAATACAAGTAATTGGTCAATTTGGGAATAAAGCCACTCGTTGAGAAATGATCAAACCAGAATTTTACAACAGTAAAATTCACTTTTCAAAACAGTTTTCTTTAATTCACCCTACGGGAGTTGACTCTAGAGTTCTTGTTAACGACACCCCCACGAATCAAAGGCAAGAACAAAGCAGAACCGCAAAGAAATGACCTAGAGGAAATCTGTTCAAAAGGATGGCGTGTTTGTGTGCACGCGCATCCATGAGGTAGATCTAGCTGTTTCATTTGCCACTCCCGGATCCCTGCTCTCGTGATTTACATTTGCAAACTCTGCTGGCAGACCTGAGACCATTAAATATACTTTCAGACCCTGACTGATTGCAGCGACTGGTTTGAAAGCGCCTCCATCGTGGAGAGAAAAAAAGTCTGC